TGGCAGGCTTGTACCTGGCACGGGCACCGTAGCCAGCCCGTGCCCCTTTAAGGGGTCCGGGGCCGGGAGGGGGGCATAGAGTTTCCCTGGTGTTGGCCAGAGTGGCCACCAGGGTCCCACTAGTTCGAATTAAGGGGCTACACACCCCTTAATTCGAACTAGTAAGTTCGAACTAGGCTTAGTCCTCGTAGAATGAGGTTTACCTAGTTCGAACTAAGCGCTCTGCTAGTTCGAATTAAGTTCGAACTAGCGGAGCGCTAGTGTAGCGGCTAGCCTCCCACTAGTTCGAATTAAGGGGCTACACACCCCTTAATTCGAACTAGTAAGTTCGAACTAGGCTTAGTCCTCGTAGAATGAGGTTTACCTAGTTCGAACTAAGCGCTCTGCTAGTTCGAATTAAGTTCGAACTAGCGGAGCGCTAGTGTAGCGCCTATCAAATTTAATTCGAACTAATGTCCGTTAGTTCGAATTAACTTTGTAGTGTAGACATACCCCCATACAATGGGGGCTGGGCTTTGGCTTTGTACCTTCCCACCCGGAGGAAGGAGAAATACTTGGGGCAGGCAGCATATTTTGTTGTTAGAAAAAGGTCTCAGTGTCATGAAATTGTAGAACTTCTCCTGTAGAATGCTGGTCACAAGCACCTGACGGGAAGAGACCAAAGTTTCCTGTCAGACCTGCACAATGATAAGCATAGATGAGGTATTGTTCCCAGCGGGTCAATTTTGAGACTCAACCCAAGACAGGAAAGGATCTTCTAGAGCCATGGTCACCACCCAGTAGATAGCGATCTACCGGTAGATCTCAGGGGCTCTAAGAGTAGCTCTTGAGCCCTCTCTGAACTGCGCGCCTGCACAGCACATTTACATTAGATTTCCTCATTTGAGGAGCAGCTACTCACCGAGCAAAACCACAGGTGAGTAGCTGCGAGGAATGGTGGGAGCTGGGAGGTCGGGAGGGCTGAAACACCCCAGCAAGCTGACTGTGGCTTTCAGCTGAAAGCGGCTGCCCCGCGCTCCAGCTGATTGGCGGCTTCTCCTCTGCGCCTGCCCACGTGGCCCCAGGGCCCGGGCGGGCCAGCCACTTCTCTTCCCTCCAGCTCGGCTGCCCTGCGCTCAGCCCAGGGAGGCTGCATCTAGCTCCAGCTGTGTTGGAGCAAGCTTCCCAGGCTGAGCGCAGGATCACAGATGCCCATCCGACAGACTGTATATGACTAGCAATCTCAGACTACAACCCAGACTTCAAGACACTGGCAGATACTGTTCAGTCACAGGTGTCACACTGAAAGATTGTTATTAGAAGAAAAAATATATAATTCTCAATACTTGATTTTAGTTTACAAAATAGAGAACAAAATGCATAATTGTAAATGCTTCAGTTGACATTTAAATAGCATGAATTAAAAACAGACCATTTATTTCATAACTATAAACGTGTGATTTTAATTGTATATATTGCATCATTTAAAAATAAACTGTTTAACAGAGTGTATAAGGGCTGGGGATAGCAAGTGATGGACAGGAGACTAGAGAGGGTGGGGCTTCAAGGAAGGGGCGGGGCAGTAGATCTTCGCCTGTTCTGAGACTTAAAAAGTGATCTTGGGTGTAAAAAGGGTGGAGACCACTGTTCTAGAGGGTAAAAAGACCAAGTATCCCAATTTTACTGAGACAATCCCATTTCTTGGGAATCCTTTGTCATTACTGAGTGCCTATCAGCATTCAGAGGAACACCTTGTTCATATTGCATCCAAGATAACTACTCCTTCAAGACAACCATTCATAGTCATAGAATTAAAGGCCAGAAAGAGCCATTACATCATGTAGTCCAGAGAACTATACACAGCTAAGAGATCCTCCGGAAAAGGGCTTTATTCCGGAGGATCGCGCCAGTCTAGACGCTCTTTTCCGGCTTTTCCCCAAGCCTGAAAAAAAGCGGCAGCCATGTTTATTTAAATCCCGCGGGGGATATTTAAATCCCCCGTGGACTTCCCTATTCTGACTTGCCTGCTTTGCATGCCTCTTCTGGAGAAGGGGCCAGTCTAGATGTAGCCTGCTTGTACACTGTTAGAGTCATCTCTCAGGTCTTCCTTTCTGTAAGTTAAGCAGGAGCGGCTCTCGAAGTCTCCCAATGTCAGGTATCTTCTCCAGTCATCTTGGGGTACTATACACTGATTGGAGCATCTCAGCACATTCTTCCTCCTGACATTGTGAGGCAGGGGCAGGGCTATTAGCCACCTGTGCAGAGGCTCAAAGATGGCCAATGGCTTGCCCATGGTCACACAGGCCATAGGAATCAAACCCAGCTGTCCTG